CCCCAAAACTGGATCAAAATCAATTCAAAAGGTGATATTCGTAATCACCGTGAAATTTTGCATCGAATGATATAGTTTTAAGTGAAAAATAAGAACTTGCAATTCTTTTGAATTAGCGGCGCCTTAACTAAACATTGTAAGATACTTACTAAAGAACGTCTCACTCTATTTTTAAAATAGTTTCTGCATTCAGATCTCCTTGATCCAGTCTCATATGTGTGATAAATAAATTTGAAATATGTACATCAACTCTTTATTCTGTATCGATTGATCAAATTTTTGCTAAAAAATGAATTAACTGTTTCATTTTTAATTTTGATATCTGTTTGCTGTTGATAGAATTATCGAAAGCATTTAGTTTATTTCTTTTTTTTAAGATGACTGCTCAATTCGGTAGCAAGTTCGTTCGAGTTTTATTGATCAAATCACGACCATCAGATTTGAATCCAGTACGTATTTCTATTCTCATTTTTCTTCATTTTAACGTATAAGTGAATTAATTTTTATAGATATTGACTACATATGCTACTTCTCAAAAACGTTTTGCATCGAAAGTCACCGGATTGAATGTAAGTAAATGTTCTATGTAATTTGATGACTAATGTTTTGAAATGTTATGTAGGAAGTCGTTATTGTTAGTGCCGTACGAACACCAATAGGCTCATTTCGTGGAGCTCTATCAACTATGCAAGCAACAAAATTGGGTTCATTAGCTATTAAAGCTTGTCTCGAAAAAGCCGGTAAAATAATGAAAGAAGATGTAAGGAAAACAAAACAGTAACGTGATTCTTTTTATTTAGGTGTAAATGCTGATCAGATACAAGAAGTATTTATGGGTAATGTTTTACAAGCGGGAGTTGGACAAGCGCCTGCTAGACAAGCCGCACTATTTGCTGGTAGGTGAATACTATCTGTACTATTTATGTAGATAGCAATAGTCTTCTTATAATTTCTATGGTTTGAAATGTAGAACATTTCACACTTTTCCATGACTGCTAATTTTTCCAGTTTTGTCTAATATATATTGAAATAATACAGGCTTTTCTAATTAACTTTTGATCAGTTTCTTATTTTATGACAACCGATCATAACTTTAAGCCATCGTTACGTTTATTTTTATCCTCAATAGGTCTTCCAAAGTCAGTTATATGTACAACGGTAAATAAAGTCTGTGCCAGTGGAATGAAAGCAATTATGTTGGCATCACAAAGTTTGATGTGTGGTCATCAAGGTAAGAGTATAAGTCGAACATTATACAATTTCATTTTAAATTCTGTTGAAATTTAAGATATTATAATTGGTGGAGGTATGGAATCAATGTCAAATGCTCCATATGTAATGTCTCGAGGAGAGACACCTTATGGTGGTCTTCAGTTAGAAGATGTTATCGTTAAGGATGGACTCACAGATGCGTTCGATAAAATTCCTATGGTAAAACAAGTGGAATTTTAGAAATATTTAAACATGATAGTCTAAACTGTGCTTATAGGGTCTTTGTGCTGAAAATACAGCGAAGAAACATAATTTAACTCGTGTCGATCAAGATGCGTATGCAAAAATGAGTTATGAACGAACTACTGAAGCTTGGAAAGTAAATTGAAATCACAGCTCGTTTTGACATATGTACCACATACTGTTCATTCTTTTAGAGTGGCAAGTTTAAGGATGAAGTGATTCCTGTTACAGTGACAACAAAAAAAGGAGATGTGACAGTTAGCGAAGATGAAGAATATAAAAAAGTCAATTTTGAAAAAATGAAAACATTAAAAACAGTTTTCAAGAAAGATGGCACAGTGACAGCAGCAAATGCATCGAAAATCAATGATGGTGCAGCAGGTAAAGTTGAATAATTAAGAAAAAGAAAATGATAATTCGAAATTTTGTTCATTGTTTAATTAGCATGTTTATTAATGACAAGACAAACAGCTAAAGAACTCGGTTTGAAACCTTTGGCAAAAGTTGTTGGTATGATAATGTATAAACAATATGTCCTGCGGGAAATAAATGCTCCCTTTTTTTTTTTTCATTTAGCCTTTGCTGATGCAGCCACTGATCCGATAGATTTTACAATTGCTCCAGCATTGGCTGTTCCTAAAGTAAGTAAGAAAACGCCTTAAATATTAACAATGATATTTCTTTTGTTTTCCACATTTTAGTTGTTGAAAATAGCAAACGTGTCCAAAGAAGACATAGCCATGTGGGAGGTGAATGAAGCTTTCAGTGCTGTAGCAATGGTCAATCAGCAATTGCTTAATATTGATATGAACAAAGTGAATATCCATGGTGGAGCTGTTGCTATGGGACATCCAATTGGGTTTGTGAAATTGTTTCATTCTCTTCTCCTTTTTTTTAATATTTCAATCGAACGTAACATATCGCCTCTATCTGTCGAACGAATTAACTAATCCAGTTACTGAATAGTGATCTGAGACAGCATGGCTTGGTGGCTATGTTGTTCATAGCTTACTTCAAAGGTATTGCGTTCGAACCTCAACACCATCAAGTTGTGTAATAATCTTGGACAAGTTACTTATGTCTTAGTGCCTCAGATCACCCATGCGATAGCAAATTGACTACATTGTGGCATATAATACAGTTCTTCCTGTTAATCTTTCGTGGCTTTTCTGGCAGCTATGTGATTAGTGAGTGTATGAAAGAAAGAAAAGCGAAAGAACTGGACTTGTCTTTTGTGCAGAGCTATAGTTGATGACTAGTAACGAGATAGATGACCGTTTCAGACGCTTGTCAGCTGCAGGAAAGATATCGAACTATTGACACTAAAACGTGCTAACACCTTACCTCGATGTCGGTAGACATAGGACGCTATATTCTTCTTTCTTCCTGAATAGTGATTAACTATTTTCTAATGTCATAATCAATTCAATGACCTATTTGTTACTTTCAGTATGTCCGGTGCGCGTCTTGTTGTCCATCTTTGTCATGCATTGAAAACAGGCACACTCGGTGTTGCTGGCATTTGTAACGGTGGTGGTGGAGCAAGCTCAATTCTTATTGAGAAATTATAAACACTTGTTTTGCTGTTGAGTAGATGTATTTTATTTTGTAATGAAAGATATTTTCCGTTTGATTTTTGATTAAACAGTATGAGTTTTTTTCTCCATAAATTTTATATTTTTTGAAACAAAACTGTGATTCTTACGTTGAATGCATTTATTTTATCTCTAAACAAAGAATGATATATTTAGTTTATTCAATAAGAATTTAAAAGTTTCAATTAATTTATTATATAGAAATAGAATAAGAAAATTTTAAACTTGATTTGATTTTTGTGTGTTTTTTAGCATTAAATTTTCATAGATTATTAGTAATTTATGACTAGTCATGTTAAATGTCTTTTGCAACAGTGTACAAAGGCGACACTTCGAGTAGGAACAGATGGGACAAATAGTGGAGAAAATCAAGTAGATACTAGAACAGTGAGATAGATAACATGATCGCGTTATCTAACGTGATTGATATTGTTTTTTTAATCATTTAGATAAATCGAGGAATGGTCATTTTTATTTCATTTCAAAAAGATGCACAAATTGATCATGTACAAAAACTTAGTAAGAATTTGTTTAACATATAGATGTTTGACTTTTTATTCAATCTTTTCTCTATGTTGTTTTTTCAGCAAAAGAAATTGTTAATGCTAAATTATGTGAAATATATGATGAAAGTAACCAGACAAATGGAAAATATACGGATATTCTCGATTTACCTGGGAACATTCTCATCATACCACAGGTTGTAACTTAAAATAATTTTATATTTTATTGAATATTTTACCATCTTGAATTATGTAACATATTGTTAATATTAAATGTTATTTTTACCGTTTAGGCAACATTAGGTGGAAAATTGAATGGAAAAAAATTTCAATATCATCAAAATATTGACAAAGAAAATGGTTTAAAATTGTACAATGAATTTATATCAATAATGACACAGTTGTGTAATGAATCAGAGAAATGGACAAATCAATCGTGTTCATTATATCATGGCACTTATGGTATTCGTCAGGTTTATTCATGTGAAACAAATGGACCATTTATGCATTTCATTGATATATAAGCAATAGTAAATTATGTACGCGGTGAATTATTTAATTTGTTACTCCATTTTATTTTTTATGTCTGTGTGAGTTATTTAAAGTTATGTAACGTTATTGTTATTAAAGTTTCTTGTATTTAGTATCTTTACTCTTTTCTATATCAGAATTTATTGTCTGTCATATTATTCTTGCAAGATGAGTCGATTTCTCGCCATTAGTATCTCATTTATTGGATTAATCACTTCTTACTTTAACCCTTTCAGGACCGGGTTAATTTTTATATAAAAAGTGCTGTTCAAAAGTTGAAGACCTTTTTTATTTTGCAATATCTCGGCTTCCCTGACAGATAGAGACTTCATCCTTTTGTCAAAAGAA